GTTCTCAAATTTGCGATAAGAGCTATAGTAGTTTTAATATAAAATTCCCAAAACAAGCATTGTTTTTGAGCTGCTACACTAGGATCCCCCCTTAACACTAGAAGGACCGGGATTTTGGTATACCTAGAAGGACCGGAGGGGTCATTTTGACCCCTCTACGATTTTTGGCCGTTTTTATGGCTTCAAAACTGCCGTTTTATCGCACATGATTAAGGTTTTGTGTGTTTAAAGGTACCTGATGCCATGACGTGACATTAGTTAGGTTTAAAGTGCGTTTAGGTAGGCAACCCGCACGGCATAGAACAATTTTTTTGCAATTTTACAGCTATTTCTGTTAACTGTTTGCACCATTTAAGACATTTTTAAACTTTAAAAATTAATATCTGACTTAGTACACATTTATAATCACGCGATCTTTAGAACACATAAGTACTCTAAAAGCGGGAGTGTGATTCACACTAAAACATTTTATTTCTACCAATTTGGCACTGACAACAATGTGCGTGGCAGTTTTGGCATTCGCAAAACCATCCGTACTTTGTGCTAGACGGCCCCCTTTGCCATCAGAACACGAGTCCGGTAACGCAACTAGCACTAAAGCCTTGGATGTGGTGTAATTTAGAAACGGGGTTTTGTGACGTGCGTGTTGCCTACCTTCCCTGAATGAAGGAGTGAAAAAGAGTCACATGGCCGACCAAAAGTCATAAGCTACCGTGCATAACAAATACGGTCAGCCTTATGATGGAAAAGTAAGTCCTCGTCAGTTTCCACTTATAAAATCTCGTGAAGGGGTCAGAATGACCCCCTCGGTCCTTCTAGGTATAAGTAGCAATATCTTCCAAAGTTCTTGTCGCAGAGACCTCCCATTTTGCGTCTAAGCGTCTGTCGGTAGTACATGAAAAGTCGGAAAGTGACGAATCGCTCAAAAAAATAATTTGTTGTTCCTTTGGCAATTAGAGATCAAAAGGGGTCATTTTGACCCCTCCGGTCCTTCTAGTGTTAAAGCGGGCTTATGCAACCGCTCTCGTGTCTGTCTGTCCGTCCGTCCGTCCGTCGTCCGTGTAAGAGAAAGGAGATGAGCTAGAGGTCTGAAAATTTCAGGGTATCTTAGGGGTCACTCCTGGACAACGAAACGCCTGGTGCAAATCCTGGCAACAACCCCTAAGGGGGTGAAAGGGGGTTACAAAGAAATAGGGGTTGGTCTAAAAAGTAGGAAAAAAAATATTTTTCTATGATCTCCTAAGGGGTAACTCGTAAAAGTAGAGCCCTTTGGGCGGAAATTTTGCCCGTTCGACTCTATCTTGCACCGTTTGGGCGCTAGAGTGCTTTTTTTGACCGAAATACGGAGAAAATGACTACGTTGCACATAAAGACGTACTAGGAGGCTTCCAATCGTAAAATGGAAGAGGAAGTACCCCCCCAAAACAACACATTCTGAATCAGGAACTACCCTCGGATTTGCCGTATCTTTCACTGTTTTGGCCCTAGAGGTGGATATATTGAAAACAATGGCAAAAAGTCAAGTTTTAAGACTGTTTGACAAACAATACAATGTAAAAACTGCGCTGGTTCTTTTTTTGTATTTTTCTGAAGCAAAGCAGAAGGGTGGGGTGTAGTCACGGTGTTGCCCCGTTACAGTCTTTTGTCATATGAAAGGAGCAAATCTCTAGGGCCGCAGGCCCCCCACCAGAAGTTAGTTTACCAAAATATGCAAAGTGATTTACCGGTCACCTTATTTATTTGGTTATGATCTTCAGTAAATCGCGGGACTGAAATGGTCGGGCCGCAGGCCCGACCATCGCCGCCGGCAGGCCAAGCAGGCCCGGCCCCTGCCGAACGGAGTTGCCGGCGCAGCGAAGTGGAGCCGGCAACTGCGTTTGGCGGAAGGGCGGGCCTGCTTGTTACCATTGGCACCCTTCGCAGCAGCACTTTTTGGACGAAAAATTAACGATAACGCCGTTGCGTCGTTGAGGACAAAAAGTAACGTGTTTACGATATCGTTACAGGCACCCTAAATTTTACCGAGTTAACGATAACGCTTATTAACGTTATCGAAAAAGCTGTAACGTCGTTAATCGTTAATGTAACGTTCCCAACCCTGGCGGGTGCGTGACCAGTCCAGCAATCCCTTATCACTATCGGAGTTGCGAAAAATTCCTGACAGGTGTATACTACTTTTACATCGCTTATACCCTTGTTGGGATTATCTAGCTCATCGGGAACGTAGTCCAGGACTTCGCGACCTACGACAACGTGGTGGACTACTTGAGGACATAAGACCACCACTTCCAGCTGCAGTGTGCTAGTGGGACTAATTAAAATTTTGGGATACACTGCCCTTGGAAATTTTAATTTTAATTTGGGAAAATATTATTTGGGAAATTTTAATTTCGGAAAATATTACTTGGGAAGGTTTGGGAAAAATGACCGAGAACAAAAAAACAACAAAAAAACACATGTGCCGTGTACAGAGGGTGTCCCCGGAGGATATCACGGTAGTTTTGGCCATCATCAAAACTCACCCCTTCTGTTAGGTATGAGAAAAGTATGGTAGTTGCATTTAAAGGGAAATCCCACAAGGAGCTCGTTAGTAAATAAATAAATAGGGGAAGGCGTGAGAGACTGAAGTTTAATAGAAGTTTCGCAAAAGGGTGGTTCAGATTGTTGAGTTAGGACACAGTCTCTTACACTTAGTATGGCTCTCTCCCTTACCTCTTGGAATGCTTAACCTAAGTACCCTGCCCGGTCGTGCAGCGCTGCCACCGCGAGCTCTCCCGGACCACGTCTGACGCTCGCGATAAGTGCGCACCCCTAAGAAGCCTCGGCCTGGTGTTGGTGGGGGCTTCTCGGCGGTGCGCGTTGTTTGTCGCGGGGAGCGTCAGAAGCGAGTACCAGTTTCGCGTTCGCTAAACAATTCGCTCGCCCGGTGTTGGTGTGCCACATTAAAGTAGCACAATGTTACACTTCGTGGGGGTGGGGGTGAACAAACCGGGCAGAGGGTGGGTTTGAACGATCGTGATTTCGCTAGCGCTGTTCGAAAGAGGACACAAATTTAAGTCGGTGCAGCAAAAAATTCGACTTCCCGACCATATAAACTGACAAATTCGGAGGCTGCACAGACCGTATGTCGTATGTGGTGCCGCAAGGGATGCGCACTTCGTGGGGTCCTAGAAAAACCATGGAGACGTCTAACAGGCCAAATCTCGACGTTCTAGCTCAAAATACCTAAAAAAATAGGCCGGCTCATAAAAGTGCGCCGATTATTTTGATCGGTAGTGAATAACGTGTTAACTCGCGAGCGAGAAGCCAGATCCAGACCATTCTACTTTACACCTTAGGATCGATTCTTAGAGTTATTTTCAACGTTCTATTTACTAATTTATCTCCTATCATTTTGTCTGTGCCCCCCCCCCTTCCCCTCTCCCCACCTCATATGCATACAAATATTCTTTTCCCGGCAGAGAGGGGCTGCGTCACATCCTGGACTCGTCGTGGGCCCTAGCATCAGAAGAATACGACTACAAGCGCCCCAGCCCGCTTCTGCGCTCATTTGTGGAGAGCATCACGCCCTTCACATCTCTGGATGCCAAGCAGCGCGCTGCCTTGATTGCGATCCAGGCCCGTGTGAACACGATACCTGGTGAGCTTAATGACTCTTTCAGTAACTCTGGTCACAGTATCAATTCACTCTGAATGTAAAGGGACTATTTTCTTCCGAAACACCTCGGCCAGTTAACCTGCAGATCTGCCGGTCGCCGGTGACCAGTTCTGGAATCGAAGGTCTTAACAAAGGATTGAATGTAATGAGTACTTTTGGCGGTTAGAAGAACACGAAAAAGTTCCAAGATGGCTGCCACACTGTTAAAACAAGTGTGCATAAATTTAAACACCAAGGTGTGCAAGTTATGAAGTAGCACATAACATGGTGCTTAACTCAAGTTTCACACTTGCCTGGTGTGCACATTTTAGACGTTCCTTCTACGTTGAAATTCTGCACACTTGGACGCACACAGTTCTATACTATCAATAGGAACAAAACGGTGTGAAGCTGCCGGGGGTAAATCACTTGGGTTCGTAGCGTACGGGCTATTTCGTGCTATTTCTCCTGCCATTTCGGTTATTTGTCGCCTTTCCCGGATTATTTCAAGATATTTCGCGATATTTGGGGGTATTACAGGGGTAGTTTGCTACTATTTCGCGCCTTTTTCGGGTCTATTTCGCCTCTATTTCGGACTATTTCGGGGGAAGGAAGGTGTACGAACTATTTCGCATGTGATTTCCCCCTCGGCAGCTGCTATACTTTTCGGGAATGTCGAAAGTTTAAACACATATTAACTTTTAACCTCCCGTAGTTCGACAAAATGTGTCGAGGAAATGCATACACTTGAACTTTAACATCAATTGACGTGTAATATTAGACACTTGTTTTACCAGGCCGCCGCTAGCAGCCTCTCGCGCTCAACGTTACCTTGCGTCTATTTCAGTATGGTATCGTTGAATCTGGTATCGTTTTGATCGGAAGAAAGTAAAACAACATTTGAACATACATGATTTTTTCTGGTTTGTTCTATGGTGTTTTTTTTCTTTTAAGTTGTGATCTTGAACTATTTTCTTAGATAACTATTAAATGACTTCCTAATAGCTACGATATTTCGTTTTTATCGCGTGTTTCAGGTTCTTCCGATTTAAACAATACCAAATTTGACTCTAATAGACGCGATTTACTCTGGAAACCCAAACTGTGTGAATGCAGTACACCCAGAAAAATGAAAAGTTGTAGCAACCAGCCTATGGTAACTGCAGGGACAACCATAAAATATGGTTGAGCTAACAACATCACAAGTGAAACAACCAAAAATACGGTTTTCACCACTGGCAGATCGTTGTCTCAACCATATTTTATGGTTATCTCTGAAAGAACCATTAGATGGTTCCTACAACATTTAATTTTTCTGGGTGTACCTCCACCTCCTGCATACTTGCCAATACAAAGGACCTAATGCGTAACACAAGGTTGGTTATTGGGGCTCCCGATCGCGAGCGGCTGCTCAGGAAAACAGTTGAATGTTTCTTGTAGTCCGTGGCGGCCATCTTGGAAGTTCTTCTCGTTCCTTTAGCCACTAAAAGTATATACTCATACCTATCTGTCAAAACTAGCTTGTTCTTGTGATCTTCATTATCTAAGCACCTCACACCCATTTCCTTATGGACACGCCTACGGAGAATTTTGTGCTAACGTCTTATGCATCACAAATTATCCATAATATGGATAAAATTGTCCGCAGTACAGACAATTTTGTCCATATTACAGACATGCCCTCCTCCGCAAGGTATGGACGAAAGGTCTTTACCTTACACTACTGATATTTCAGACCACTGGTCTGTACAAAAACTTCAGACTTAAAGTACTGAAAATTCAGTAAAACTTTTGTTAATGTTTAGCTTACGAAGGATTTTGAAGCGTTGTATTACGAACTAATTTTAGGCTTGCACAAAAATAGTTCGTAATGCAGACCGATTGTTAGTAAGTACCTGCCTAACCTTACAAACAATCGCTTTGCAATACAAACAATTTCTTTGCAACACAAAGGACGAATGTTCGTAACGTTGCAAAGCATTTAGTTCGTAAGCTTTTTACAGTGTGGACTTTAAAAATATACCCCACACACTGTAAAGAGCTTGCGAACTAAATGATTTGCAACGTTACGAACAATTTTCGTTCTTTATTTTGCAAAGAAATTGCTCGTATTGCAAAGCGATTGTTTGTAAGGCTAACATGTTCTTACGAACAATCGGTTTGCATAGCGACCTATTTGTTCGTAAGCTTACGAACATTTAGTTCGTTATACAACGCTTCAAAATCCTTCGTAAGCCACGAATGTTTTGGTTCATGAGTAAATGAGGCAAATTGGTAAGGAATAACATAAAGCTTCCATCCCTTCTTGCTCATTTAGTGTGACGACGGTCTCAACAAAATCCCGTCTTTTTTGTAACTTTACGTTTTTTCTATTAAGGTTCGAATTTTCCCGAAAGTGGTGGCTTTTCTTTGGGGAACCAGGGAGGCGGCGAAAGCCTGCTCCGGACGTGTATCGACCTCAGTCCTATGGAGGGAGAGTGGCGCTTTCGATTGGCGGAGTACATGGACGGCAACATCTTTTGTTCAGCGTAAGTAGTTTAACGTGCACATGCACACCCCAAAAGTCGTTTTTCTTGAATAAACTTCAGGGTTTTCTTGCTTCCAAAGACTAATTCTTAACATGATTTAGTCAAATTGCACTAAATTCCTTGTTGTTTCTTTAGGGGCCGTACCCAAACCATGTGACGGGTTTTTGGTGGGTTTTGACCCGTTTTATTTAACGTATTTACGGCAAGAACATTTCAACGAAAAGTGCATGTTTGCTGATGTTAAAAAGTGAATTTGGTGGTGACTTTGCGACCATGGATTGCAATCACTGGCAGATTTCAGGGTTTTATCTATCAAGAAACGGATTTTTGTTTAATTTTTAAAAATATGTTCTTTTTTAAAGCAGGTAATTAACACACACTAACTGGATTTGTAACTTTAATTTGTACGAACTTAAGCAATCAAATTTTTTGCACAAATTTCTGCGTTGATTTGAACACTTATGTGCATTTATTTGAAGGAAATCATGCACTTTTTCCTACAAATTTGTGCGAAACGAGGGGGTAATAACTCCCTTTTGAAGTGTACACATGATTCCCGAAATTCTTGATTCCCACTGATTCTCGTCCACTTATATTCCTTTCCTAGGTTTTCTAGTGGTAGGAAACGCTTACTTCGACTAATTTGTACTAGTTCCGCTAGTTTCCCGATTATTTTAAGCAATTTCTGTTTATTTTGATTAATTTTTATCCTGATGATTCCTTGGCAGGTGTACACATGATTCCCGTATTTATATCCCCCTCTGTGCGAAACGAAACGTAGGTTTAACTTAGTGCGAACATTTGCACAAAAACATACAAATACATTTAGTGTGCAGTCAC